TTTTCCGTGATTCTAAATGTTTTCGACTATTGAGTGTAGTGAGAATGTGAGTTTGCTGAGATTTTGAAATTATGAGATTCTTAGCATTTTGTGATCCGGAGTAGATGCTGAATTTTTCGTCGAGCGGTCTTCAGAAAACCGTCTATAACTCTGAGACTAAAAGTCCGGTGAACGTATTTAGAGTTAAGGAAAAGTGCTTTTTCGTATTCAGCACACTTGATAACCTGAAAATTTTCTATTTTTAGCGAGGGGTACCGTCAAAAAGTTAAGAAAAATTTTCAAACAAATTGACGCAGAAAAATCCCCATGATAAAATTAAACAATTTTAAAAAATTTTCTTAACTTTTTGGCGGTACCCTCGCTAAGAATAGAAAATTTTCGAGGTTATCAAGTGTGCTGAATACGAAAAAGCACTTTGCTTTTAACTCTAAATGAACTTTAATTTTTTGTCGGTGATATGTTTAATACTTTCTGCACAAAAAGCCGCTGTGAATGTCCTTATTTTCCGTAATCGGTTGTTACCGTGCAACTACTGGCGCCATTGCCTTTTCTAGAGCCAATTACAAAGCAACTAGAAGCCATACGGAAAAATTTTGTTTAAAGAATAGAGGGACTATGATCGAAATTAAATGGAATTTGGATTTGATGAAACTTTCGCGAACGCTAATTTATTTTATTAGAATTTTAATAGTATATGTCGTTCTGTTGTACGTTGTGTGGTTCAAAAATTGATATTTTTCATGTTGATTATACCGAAAAGGAAAGCCGCTGCTCAAATTTATTTTGAATGGATAATTATTGATTGCGATACTTTTGCGATTTATTTCAGGCAAGGAAAAACGACCGTAAAAAAACGTCGAAGTCCGTAGCAACGGCATCCCTTGGCTGTACGATCATATGGAGCCATACCAAATATCCATGGCTCTAAAATAATGAAGCTTATTAGCTGTGTTGAAACTATTTGAGATGGAATCAGAAATCCCTTAACGTCCATATGTTTTCTGTAATTTCTATTATTAGTTTGTTGCTGAGTACCATTGCTGTTCTCGCATAAATTAATTACTTTATTTTCGTCATGACACTACAGACATCTATTTGAAGCATAATGATTGAACAAAACTGTGTCCAACGACGTTACGTTGATGCATTGTGTAATGCTTTGTTTCTTTGTAGTTCGCCATCTTTTGGTTTTGTTATATGGAGCCAAAAGGAAAGAATGACACACTCGCTCTGATGAAGTGTGATCAATCTGTAGAACCAGCGACGATTTTTTAGCTTGTATAACCTATACTCCAGTCAGTATTTTCAACGAGACTTTGAAGCAGATTGTAGTTGTAGAATCGGTTAAAAGCAACATGATGAAAGGTAACAAAACAACGATTAAAAGAACAAATCCCTTCAATGTAGAACTTCTGTTTTTGCACGGATGTAGAACTTGTAGGCTTTAAAGAGTCAAGCGAAAAAAATGAGAAATTAAAATTTTCAATTGCACAGTGTACAATTTGTTTTTGTTTGCAAATTTACGACAAATGTACATTCAGTTGTACAATTTGCTTCAACATTAGAAACACTGATTCCAACAATGCGATAAAATCTTGATTCTCAGAAGCGAATAGTCAAATGAAAATTAGCAATATTACAAACAAGTTTAAATAATGCTTTCTGTTAAATAAATTGTCTGATTAACACATAAGGGAAATGACAAGAATACAATAACTTTTTTAATGAGGTTAATCCGTTTTATTACGTTTATTTTCAAATTACCTTTGTAGCTCCGTTTTAGCCAAGTTTTTCTATTTTATCAGGTTTTACAGACTGAAGACTTGCATTGGCGACATTGTTTCTCGCACAGAAAGTTCTTTTGCAGGATATAACTGTACGAGCTAAATCGTTTCACATAGAGAAGAACTCAATGTTTCGGTAAAATTCGCAAGACTTTTCTGAAAGCGAGTTTTTTGTTTTGTTCTGTAGATCGGAGATGTGGAAGAATTTTTTACGAACAACAATCATCTCGTTATCTAAATCTTATACAAGGACCTTTTGTTGTCAGAATCCAATACAACAACACCTAAAATCAGTTATATCAAATGATAACTTTAATGTGAAAAAGTACGGTTCCATGATGAAACATTTCAATAGAAATGGTCAAAATGAAAAAACATTGAAATTATTCGATGAAATGATTTTAAAAAACGAGGTAAACATCAACAAAGTCATTTACCTTTTCGCCATTGGCGCATGTACAAATATAAAAAATTTACAACGAGGAAAACAGATTCATCGTATGATAGTTAACAATAAAGATCAATCAATAAAAAATGCAATACAATTAAAGAATGCATTGATAAATATGTATGCAAAATGTAATGATATGAAAAATGCTGAGCTGATCTTTCAACAAATGAAACAACGAAATATTGTTACATTTAATTCTATGTTAAAAGGTTTGTACCGTCCGATAAAAATCATGTTTGTTTTTGAAAAATGTGTTGTCTCACTAATTCTACCTGATAGTGATGACTCTGCATTTATAAAACCTTTTTAAGCTAAAGATCAAGCCTTTTTCGAAATGTGCATTTAATTTTACAAACTTTGAAAAACTTCTTCTTTCTGTCTAGGCTATACAATCAATAAAATGGCACATAAAGCAATGGAATTAGCAAAATTAATTGAACAACAGCAAATAAAGTTTAGTGCTGTTACATACAATTTAATCATTAATGCATGTATCCAGATTGGTAATAGTGAAAGTTTCGAAAAAGGCAAGCATTATCATAAACAATTGTTACAGGATGAAAATATTCAATTGTCTGATGATATAAACCTACAAACATCACTGTTAGATCTATATGGCAAATGCGGTGATGCGAAAATGGTTGAAAAGATTTTTAATAATATGAATAATCGAGACGTAACAGCATATGGTGCATTAATGAAATGTTATAATTTGAATGAATTACCACTTCGATCAATTGAAATATACAAAAACATGAAGCAGCAATCCATTGTTACTCATATATTGGTCGTTAATGCATGTGCTCAACTCGGTTTTAAAGCATTACTTGAAAACATTTATGAACAAATACCAGAGGAATATGTTCATCATAACTTAATGATACAAAATTCCTTGATCGATGCTTTTTCTAAATGTGGTGATGTTAAAAGAGCCGAAAATATTTTTAGCTCAACATCCAAACGTGATATAATTACGTATTGTGCAATGATAAATGGATATGGTGTAAACGGTTATGGCCTTGAAGCTGTCAATTTATTTTACAAAATGAAAGATGAAGCAAAAATCATACCTGATCAACAAGCATATGTTTGTGTTCTTAATGCATGTAGTCATTCTGGCTTAGTTGAAAAGGCGAAATCACTTTTTCAATCTCTTAGAAATAAAGATGAAAAAGTCTATACAGCAATGGTATGTGTTGTTTTCTCTAAGCTGATACTATTATCATTTTTGAGAGATTATTCTACGTCTGTTGTAGATAATGCAAGGGGGAAAAAGCATACTTCTGTACTTCTGGTACTTCTTCGTACTTCTTGATACTTCTTGATACTTCTTCGTACTTTTTTGTACTTCTCCGTACTTCTGAAGTACGAAGTACGAAATACGGAATTTCGTACTTCGTACTTCAGAAGTACGGAGAAGTACAAAAAAGTACGAAGAAGTACGAAGAAGTATCAAGAAGTACGGAGAAGTACAGAAGTATGCTTTTTCCCCCTTGAGATAATGCCATTATCACAAATGTTTTCTTCGTTTTCCTCTGAACGAAGACGTATAGAGAATTGCGGGTTTTACTTTCGAGGAAAGAGATTTGAGGGCATCTTTCTCCAAAAAGTTATTATGTCCCTTGCATTCAGATAGAAATATACGTATATATCTAAGATATATTTCTATTGACATTTGCTTCGCATTTGTTGTACTCTGTTTGTCTACAGAAAAGAGAACCAAAACAGCAACATGGAAAATATTTTGTGTAATCAATTGCTTATAACTCACTCATTTCTTGACCAAATTAAATAATTCTTTGAGTAGCAGATTGGCGAGACTTTTCTCTACTTGAAAATGTAAAAAGGTACAAGGCTTTCATAGTGGAACCCTGCACACGACTCGATCAAATTCAAGATGCACGATGTTTGAACAGAAAAATAAACATGTTGAATTTAATCGAGACGTTTGCAGGATTCCACTGTGAAAGTTTTGTACCTTTTTACATTTTCAAGTAGAGAAAAGTCTCGCCAATCTGCTACTCAAAGAATTATTTAATTTGGTCAAGAAATGAGTGAATTATAAGCAATTGATTACACAAAATATTTTCCATGTTGCTGTTTTCGTTCTCTTAGAAACAGAGTACAACAAATACGAAGCCAATGTCAATAGAAATATATCTTAGATATATATGTATATTTCTATCTGAATGCTAGAGGCCTATTTAATTTTTATCTCTTGCACTTTTCATTCCATTTTTGTCAATTTTAGACTGTTATGAGCTCCTTATTGTTAGATGAATAGAATGTTTTGTGTAGAATATGTGTTATTCTAGATTGATACACTAGCACGTGTTTACCTATTTGATGAAGCTCAACAACTCATTAACGAATATGAACAGCAACAAGGAAATAAACCGTATTTACCAATGTATATGGCGTTATTATCGGGTGCAAGAAATAAGCAAGATGATCTAAAAGCAAAAGAAATTTATGATCAACTGTGTTCCATACCTAATGCGGAAAATAATGCTTTGGTGGCTGCTTCAGTTTTATTGGCTAATACATATTCTGCACATGGTAATTTTGAAGAATCAACAAAAGTAAGACAACAACTGGCAAGTGTGAAAAAACTAGCGGGCGTTAGTTGGACAGAAGTTAATGGTCAAATTTTTGAGTTTAAAGCACATGATCGACGTCACCCACTATCAAATGAAATTTATCAAGAATTAGATAAGATGATCGAAGAGCTCAAACAGGATGGATATGAATGCGATAAAAGGTGTGAGTTGATTACTTAATATCTTGCTAGAGCTGTTGCATTGTTATTACCAACTTTTTTTTCTCTGGTGCAGAATAAAAGCTATTATTACTTCATTTAGGGGTGACGCGTGCTACAGATCCTGGAGAAAGTATTGAATCTGTGTTATGTGGTCATTCGGAGAAGCTAGCGTTAGCTTTTAATTTCATTTCTTTTCCAACATCTCCAAAAATTATCCAAATTACAAAGAATTTACGTGTGTGTGGCGATTGTCATGATGCCACAAGGCGCATATCAAAACTCAGACAATGCGAAATAATTGTTCGTGACAAGAATCGTATTCATCACTTCAAAGACGGTTATTGTTCGTGTAGGGAACATTTTTAATGATCTTGTTTTGTACGTTCATGTTGATACAATTATAGCTGGATAAAAAATGCGAACAGAAGATCTAAATTGAATATTTTCTTTCTGTTCATCGGCTTCTTTGCTGACACATCGAATAATGTCTAATCAGTTGTGTGCCCCTATTTTTTCTTGTTCTTGATACCGAGTATATTTATTTATCTATCACACTCGCTCTTAACATTCTAGTCTTTAATAAAAACTCAGGGCAGGGCCACACAGATGCAATAATGTGCATGTAAGGTTATACAGCGATATCCAGAAAAAATTCCTATTGTCCTTTCGAGAAAATGAAAAACGTTTTTTCTTCAGGATACTTAGCTCAACGAAGAGGCGCACCTGTGATGTCGGAAAAGGTGTAATTAGTGGTCTATCAAATGCCAGTTAGTAGCTAATGAAATAGACATTTTTTCACACAATCCATACTGTTTTTCGCCCATTTTTATATATCATAAATGGGAACGTTTTAATATCTAAAAATGGCCTCCTTTCGATGAGCTAAAAAGTGTGTGAGAACAGGCAGCTAATATCCCCATTTCATTGACAGTTATCCTTTACAATAATCTGTTGACAGTCATTTAACTATGATAGTTATTTTACGTTTTAAGGTGCAGAATTACATGCCTTTTTTTTTTTGCCATTATAATAGTCTCAAAACTGAAAGTAAATACTAACTGTTAAGTACGTTTTTTTTGAATGTTAAATGCCTTTTCTCGAGTCTTTCTCAACAGTCACATAACAGACAAAAAAAACTGACTGTTAGTGAATTGGCCGTTTTTAAGGAGTTATTTGAATGTTACAAGCTAGTTTTTAGCACACATTTGAAAAGCATTAAATAAGTTCTTATATGTCAGTTATGATTCACCTGGACAGGATAAATGAATTTTCTCTTTTCTCCGGTCCTAGACGATTCAGACTTTCAATCAGCTATTTTTCATTTTCCTGTTGTTCGACGTTAACATGTTTACCATTACATATAACTGATCAGGTTTTATTCGAAAAAATTCATTTTTTACTATTAAATAAACTTCAATGTCTAACAAGATTTTGTTTATGTGTTACATATGACATTTGATGAATTAAAAGAATTATTATTGAAATTACTAAATTTGAAATATTTATCTTTGACAGTAGTATGTAGAATATATGATGATTCATATTTTAATTTTTATCGTTGAGCCAATTCGGCCAATTCACTAACA